CTTCTGGGATTGCCCCGCAGCATCGTGTGTGTCGCTGGCGGGAGCTGGACCGAGCGATTTGGGCACGTTGTGGTGGAAGTGCCTGGAGGAGGACGTGGAGTTTCTGGACATATTTTCACCTACCAGGTAATGCTATTGCTTCTTAAATACCTCTCCATGTTCTTCCAGTGCTTTTGCTGCAGAACCATTTATTGTATGAACTTAAGGGGCTCTGCCAGATACTGTAGCTGGGATTTTTATTTGAATTTGGTGCTTTAGAGTTATAGTTTCCATTCCTAAGATCATAAGAACAGCTGTACTGGATCATACCAAGCCCAGTAGCCTATAGTTTTGTTTGCTAGTGAGAACTGTTGAATGCTTAAAGAAAAAGCTAAGTACAGGGAGTGCAACTTTATGGCAATCTGCAGAATGGACTTTCTGAATTGAAGATTTTATTGATAACTTAACATTTTATTAGGACTTAGGATGTTATGTTAATTTTTAAATTGCTACTTAAACATGTGTTTTTGCTTCTGACCTACAGCAGCAAATGGCAGTAAGCCCAGAGTTACTCTGGATTGTATAGAGAAAAAAAGTTTTGTATTATTTGTAAACTCCTCTCTGAGAATTTATTGATAATTCATAGTCTGTGGTTAAGATAGTCATGTTTGTTGCTCTTCTCTGTTCTGGTTTTATTAACCCCATTGTGAGGCAAGGTGATCAGAACCACATGGGACAGTCAAGATGCGAGTGCAACACAGATTTGTACTGTGGCATGAATTTTTTTTTTTCCAAAATTTATTCCACAATAAGTGCTAGTACTTGAGGTTTTATGTTTTGGGGATTTGTTTGTTTGTTTGTTTTGTTTTATCTACTATGTGAAGCAGAAATTTTAGCTGTTGTAGGTACCAAAGTACTCTGGAATGGGCAGTAGCTCGGCTTCCAAACTCCAGGCTGTATTCAAGTATATTTGTGTCACTTTGTTGCAATCTTCTTGCTCCTTCTCACTTCACACATCTTTTCATTCATCAGCAATGAATTACCTATGCTACACTTGTTGACTGATCCCTCTAAATTTTTCTGCAGTCCTTTAGTGGGATTAAATTTTTGTTAGTCTGAATAATTTACCAAATTTCATTTTCCCTTTCCATATTACCTACAAGTATATTTAACAGCACAGGTCTTGGCACAAATTCTTAGGGCTCCCTGCTGGTAACACCTCCTTTATTGGACAAGCAGACAATTTATTTGCTACCTTTTGTTCCTCACTTGAGTTACTGATCTGGACAATCCCTTTGAACTGTTAATCCCAGGCTTTGGGTGCGAGGCTCACAGCTCTGCCGTTTGCAGCATCCATCTGCCTCTTACCTTATGTGGAAAGACTGTGGTCCTCACCTCATGTTTCATAGTTGGATTTCATAGGGCAGTTTCACAGTAGTTTCATAGGGTTGTTGATCCCTTCCCTGTTGCCTCGGCTCCATGATAAAGTAGCTGCTGGAGCCTGTCTGTGGCCTGCGTGTGATCGGGAATGTTAGCTTCTATTTTCAGAGCACTGGAGGTCACTGGGTGTGTTCTGCTGTGCTCTTTCCTCACCCTCTTTTATGAGGTCCTTGTCACTCGCTTCTTGTTTTTTCTCTTGCAGAACCCAGAGCTGAAATCCATAGTTCCAACTCAGGGCCCTAAAGCGGGAGGAACCTGCCTTACTCTCCTGGGTTCAAAGCTGCTCACCGGGCACCCCAGCGAGATCAGCATCCTTCTTGGAGACCTGCCCTGCCACATGTAAGCTGAGGGCCCGGCCTCCCGCGCTGGCTGAGCACCGTCCACCCCTCAGCCCTTCCCAGGGAATCTCGGGGCTCAGCTCGCAGCCTTTCCATGGGCTGTGGGATCTGTTCCTGGAGGTCCTGCCCTCAAGAATTGTAGCTACAGCCTCAGCTCTCTTTCCTACCTGCTTTCCCTCGCACAAGGACAATGTGTTGTGACCTTCATGCCTCTTGACATGACTTTTTACCCCATCCTGACAGCTCTGCTTATGCTGAGGGAACCCATGCAGAGGTGGCTCCTGCAGGTTGGCACTAAGGGCTGCTTCTTCTCTGGTGTCCTGGGACGAGGGTGCCTGGCAGCACTTCTGGTGCTGGTGAGGATGCAGCATGTCCTGGCAGCCTCTGTGCCCTCCCATCTGGACAGGGGTTGCACCTGCTTTTTGTGCAGGTGCTGCTCACTGACAACTCCCCAGCAATTGTCGCTTGCTTATAAGGGATTTCCAGATTAGAAAAAGCAGCAAATAACCCACAAGGTCTTTCAGCATCAAATTTAGGGAGATGCCAGAGAACAGGCTGTCAGCAAAGAGCATGGGTAGCATTAAAGATGCTGTCTCTGTGGTGGCTGTGTTGATCCCTTGTTCTCTCCTCTGTCTCTCTAAGCCTTTCAGAAATGAGAGAGGATCAGTTGGCGTGTCAGACGAGTCCCAGCAATGTGTCTGCAGAACTCCCCGTCACCATCAAATACGGGGATCAGGAGCGGAGACTGGAAGGATCCCTCTTCAGATATACCCTGGATCCCAACATCACTTTTGCAGAGCCACCTAAAAGCTTCCTCAGGTACAAAGCCTGAATACTTGTGCCTCTGTGCACTGTGGCAGGCAGGTACTACAGTGCTGGTGGCTTCTGTCCGTTTTATTGAGCTTTGGAGCAAAGCCAAGGTTGTGGCGTGGGTATAGATGGAAGGGTGGGAGCACAGGGGAGAGCGCTGTTGGCTAATGGATGGATGGAACTGCTTGCTTTTCTTTTGCAGCGGAGGGAGAGTGCTCAGAGTTCATGGATACAACCTGGATGTTGTACAGAAACCGAAGATTCGCGTTACGGTTTCTCCATCTGAACGCCGGCGCCGGGGACTGGGACGGTGGCGCCGAATTATCCCAGACACCGAGTGCCCCGAGGGTGCTCTGTGCAGCATCCAGCAGGTAGTGTAGCAAATGCCTCCTCAGCCCCACGGGTTGTAAGATTTGGTGTGCTGCACTGGAGAGATGAACTTGGTGTCTCTAG